AAACTCTGCTCTGCGAGAGCATGCTGTATGTATGGATGATAAATATAATGGCCTTTCCTCAACTCTAAAATTTGACAGGAATCCAAAGTCCTTTTCAACTCTTTATTAATACGCCCACGTGTTTAGTGACAACCATCAGCTTCCTGCCTTTTTTGTTTTGTTTTTTTAATTCAAGACAAAAAGCAGCTCCCCCCGCTTTCTTAGAGTTCATTCATTGGCTAGAACTTAATATCTGCAGAGGCTGTTTCACGAGCAGAGGCTGTTTCACGTGTAGCAATGCCACACAGAAACAGAAATATGTCAATGTATCCAGCCACAAATGGCATTTACGAGTTTATGTGACAAAGTATCGTTTAACACTTGAACATCTAGGGGGGAAAAACTTTATGGGAACATCAAAGTAGCAAAACCCACCAATTAAAACTGAACCGTGTGTCACATAAAATGCTGTAGGTGTGGGTGGAAGAAGCCACTCTGAACATACCTTTCCCCACTAAGAACACTTAAATTATAACTGAAAACTGTGCTTGAGATCCTCACAGATGCCAACACTTGTCAGCCTCTAAAGTGGCCGACCCATCTAAAATATCCTGCTAAAATAGCAATGCCGCAACGTGTCGCGATAAGAAGTCATTTCCTTTTGAAGAGCTTTTATGAGCGTGAATAATAATAGAGCCAGTTGTTGGCTGTCCTATTTCATAAGGAAGCAATGTAATCAAGCTTCAATTAACCAATAACTAAAATGGGCTCATGCCCTCCAGCTGTCTCTCTCAGGACATTTTACTAGCTCCCTTTTTTTTTTTTTTTTACTTTAAGGAACCCATCCAAACATAACCCTTCATCTTCCTCACATTGTGCACTTCATCTCCATATGGGAGGGAGCATCACATGTGTCCAGCATGAAGAGGGCTATGAATCTCCCTCTTATGGATACATGTCACATGCTTTGTTCGCAGATGTGGAGGGGACGGTGGGGGTTTCCTTACTGATAGAATTAACATGTGGAAATGACTAACCAGCCTTTATGTTTCTAATGTGCTTCGAGTGTTTCGTATTTCTAGGGAGGCCCCTTTCTAAAGATATGATTAATTTGCAGAATATAGTTAATTTTCCCTCTGAGGGATAATCCTGGCGTGCAGCATCATTTGTGGACTGTTTTGGCTAGCTCCTGCGTTGGGTGTGTGGTTGCTACAAATGTGTATGCATGCGTCCGTTTGTGCATGCATGCAAACATATGTCTGCCTCTGTATCACCCCTGTGTAACCACCTCTATGATGGGCTAATTGGTTTAGCAGCCAAGGGGCCAAAGGCCAGTGCAGCATAGCAAAACTCAACATGAACCTGATGTTGAAAGGAAGGCTTCGCTGCTATAGGAGGGAAGCATGTGTGGGACAATTGCTTTTTTTTTTTTTTACCACACACGCACACTCTACACTTAGGCTTTTTCACTTAACGAAACTCACAGCATGCGAAAACAAAATTTTTCACAGCGTTCTGGGCCACTGTGCTTCAGACTAGAGGAGCACCAGAAGTAATCTCTTACATTTTAACATATTGTGAGGCCTTCTTCTGACGAATGTCACATGCTATTACATTAATCTAGAATATTGAATTGGAAGCCTTTATGCACTGTGAATAATATACACACTGTAATATTCAGGCAAGCCTCAACCTGCACTATCAGCGGCCCGCTCAGTATGGTTTGTGGAGCCTACTTTGTGTGGGGATCTGAGGGGATCGTTTACCAGTTCCAACCCCATTACTATTCATGAGATGGGTAGGCTAGGGGCGAGGGATTAGGGACTCCCTTGGTGCTTGTTGTGCTGTAGGCTCGGGCTCAGGCCTCAGGCTCCGGGACAGGGGCTGTCTGGCAAGGATGGTGGGTCTATTATCACCCTGGGACCCGTCTGTCCCACAGCAGAACACTTACTGGCAGCGCCAGCTAATGGAAACTGTGTCTCTTGTTCCCTTTCTCCTTTTTTTAACCTCATCACCCTCCTGGTATCCTCCCTCCCCTCTGCTCTTTAAAAAAAGATGGGGAAGTTTCTCCCCTTTCCTATTTCAAAGTTGAAATGGTGTATTTCTATTGGCATCTTTACCGTGAAGTGCTGGGATGGCACTATACTTGCAAAAAAAAAGTACTTTCCCTCAACTCTGTCAATGCTTTGATCCTCAATTTTCCAAGTTTCTAACATCCCCCTCCCCTCCAGGTGATGAGTATCCTGAGTAACCCTAGTGCTGTACCCTCCCAGCCCCAGCACGACTTTTCCATTTCCCCCCTGCACAGCAGCCTGGAGAGCTCCAACCCCATCTCAGCCAGCTGCAGCCAGCGCTCTGACACCATCAAGAGTGTGGACAGCCTGGCTTCCTCGCAGTCATACTGCCCTCCTACATACAGCGCCACCAGCTACAGTGTGGACCCCGTCACTGCTGGCTACCAGTATAGCCAGTATGGCCAGAGTAAGTAGACCCTGTATGTGTATACTGTTGTTGTTGCATAAGCAAATACTTTCATGTTTTTGTGACAAAAGCTGGTCGTTCTTCTCCGACCCCCTCTTAAGCTGACTACATTTAAAAAGCCTATGAAGTGATGCCCAGTTCCCAGGCAGGAGAGCCTCCTGACCTTTGCACCCTGGTCGGTGGAGGCAGACACGTGCTCTTGATAAAGACTCCACCACCACCTCCACACCACAACCATCCATTTACAGAGCTGCCTTAGTCACACCCCACTCCACTTGGATGGGAAAGAGAAGAGGGCCACTTCAAAGAACGGCACACCCTCAGGGGCCACAGTGTCCTCTTGCCCACCTCTCTTTCCCTCTTTCTCCTATTTTGATCACACATGCACACACCCTCAGGGCAGGAAAGAGTTTGCTTTATTAGATTAGCATAATTGACTGATGCTGTCACAGCCATTCACAAGAGGTAAAATGAAGCCCACTTCCTGAACAAACCAATGCAGCATTGGCTAGCTGACATTTGTTTGTATTTATTTTCAGGTTCTGGTGGTGATCTGATGCTTTTGTGCATCTGGTGATTTTCTTTTCCGAAATGTGTTTGTGTTATGCGTGAGTGCGGGCGAGCGCGTGCCAATCTGTCACGTTTTTGTGTGTGCGCACCAGTGTTTTTGTCAGCAGCAAGAAACTGATGGCAGTGCGGATGTGAGCTGATGTGAGGTTAATTAAGATGGTGATTGAGCACAGTGGATGGGTAATGAATGGAAGAGAGAGGAGAGGAGCTGCTGTCTGAGGATGAAAATGATCGGCCATGTGGAGTGTGGAGGGCATGAAATCAGAGATGCCAAGTGTAATGAAGACTGGCACACAGAACACACACGGGGAACTGTCTGAGTGACAGCATGGAGACTTTACCAGGATGCACATGCTCTGTGCCAGCAGCATGCCAACCTCAGACAAGGGACAGGGGAGGGGTTTTTATCTTTCACTCTCTCTGTGTGAATTGTTTTTCATTTGACTCATTCTCTTCTGCCACAACTTGTTTCAGCCTTAATCAGAGGAATGAAATGAGAGTGAATAGGACATATGTCCCAGGAATCTACCACCTGTCTAACGTTTGTTTGTTTTTCCTTTCTGTCTTCTTTTGTTTGTTTGTCTGTGTGTATAGCTGCTGTAGACTACCTGGCTAAAAATGTGAGCTTGTCCACCCAGAGGAGGATGAAGCTTGGAGACCACTCGGCAGTACTGGGGTTGCTGCAGGTGGAGACGGGACAGGCTTACTGAAGCCACTCGGGACAAACCCTGCACCTCTCTCTATTTCGCCCTCTGCCACCCTCCTCCATGCTCCATCAAGTCTGGACTGCAACTCCAGCTCGTCTATCTGCAGCTCGGCCATGACATCAGTGAACAGACGCGCGCCCTCACTCTGTACCAGAGAAAGTGACGCTTGTGAGAGAGTGAAAAGTCCCTTTTCGGGAATGGAGCTAAACTTTTCACACCACCAGGCGGCTCTGCACCCTTTCTCCCCACCCTTTGGGCATAATTGCCCGCTTCTTGTACTCATGTCCTAGCCTCAGACCTGTTTATTTTACTCAGTGGGCCAAAAAGGACCCCCAGATGACCAAAGGATGGTCAACTTCATTGGCCCAGATTCCTCCTTGTCATGGCTGCAGTCCAGCACACATTTAGAGCCATCAACAACATGTACTTTTGACCTTGCTGTTCATAGTAGTTAACAAAGCCAATATCATTTGAACGACTCTTCTTCTTGTTCTTTTTTGATATTGTTAAGACTATTGTTGCTGTTATATGATTATGGTTAATGTGATTTCTGTTGTTCTTTGATTCCATTCGTATCTCTTTTCTCCGTTAGATGTCAGTGTGTAAAACACAGAGAATGACTGAGATGATCTGGGAGCGATGCATGTTTGCGTGTCGACACACAGTCACACAAAAGAGGATGATTGTTTTCCAAGCTGCTGTTCCTCTGCCTGTTCCCTGAGCTCAAATATTCGTGAGCGATTTGACCTTCCCACTTTCATATTCGTCTTGACATTCCTAAAGAACTTGGCCATACTGTGGGAAGTCTGGCTGGCTGGATTCTGCAGGGAATTAAAGCAGCGTTTTGGCGGCCAATAGCTTTCCCCTTGTAACCTCCATCCCATCCTTAGTGGTGGTCCATAGGGAGGAGGGCATTGTTTGCAAAAACAGGATTGGGGAAATTAATGTATTTTGAAATATGGACCTTGCCAAGCTCAACCACCCCCTCATACGAACACACACACACACACACACACACACACACACACACACACACACACACACACACACACACCTCCCCATTCCTCCCAAATCCCATCTGCCAGGGAATCCTGTGTGACTTAAACAGTGTGAAGCAGATTAAATCACACGAATATAATGTCAAAGCTAATTCACAGTGACCCTTCTCATCACTAGCCAGTATTTCAGTTTTTTTTATAGCATAATTAGCACATTTTGTAAATGCACACTGTGTTGGCTTTCCACCTTTCGACTAAATTCCTTCAGAACATTCCTCAGCCTCCATCTCCAACATACTATAGGCATTCCAGCATTCTCTGTTATGAGATTAAAAAGTAGACAAGCTGTGCCATTCACATGCACTCTGGAAAATCATATAATCCAGTCAGTTGTGAAAGGGCACAGGTAACTCCGCTGATTGGCCCCCTTCTCTGGTTTGGACCAGAGCCACGTCTAATCCTCCACTTTCACATACTCACCCAAATGTACAAAAAAGACGAAAAAAAAAGTTTAATAATAGTGGATATGAGACATTTGTGTAGCACGCGTTGTTGACTTGATCCAGGACCAGCTGTTCCCTTGAGATGTATGTGATATTTTTCATTGACACCAGTGTGATTATTATGACAGTTAATGCTCAAGAAAGGATCTGGTCCTTTGTCGCCTTTAAAATCTGAAAAAATGTACAGTAGCTGGAGCAGATTGTGTATCGTTTCTTTATAAAGAGTATGTTTTATACTAAAACAACACTATGTTGAGTGGTAGGTAAGCAAGGGATCTGTGGAAGGAAATGTTTTGGTTTTCTTTTTCTGTTTCCTTTTTAATGTATTTAATTGGTTTACTTGTTTCAACCAAAAGTTTTGAGTCTGTTTTTTTTTTCTGACCCAGGTAAGAATTGATTTGTATAAATTAGTAAAATATAAATTCCACTGAAAATGTTCCAATTAAAATGACATTTAAGAGGGTAAAACTGAGCTTGAAGGAAAATGAAAGCTTGGTGTCACAGACAGACTCCCCCTGAACCACAGGACCGCTGTATATTTAAAAGTTGGCTGAATTAAACATCTTCAGGGTGTTTTTGACCGCCTGTTTTACAGACTGAGTATAAAAGCAGGCCAGCTATCACTGGACCAAGGACCTAACACACCTGAGCCTTCGGTGTGTGACTCTGCCAATGGACCAGCGTGATGATGATGATAATAATGCCAGAGACAACAGGCTTTCTACTCTGGGAATTTGTTGGATTTGTGGACCAATAAGACTTCAGGAGAAAACGTCAAAGTAATGCTGACTCCGCACTGAACCGCAGCAGTTGCTGCTCCAACTGCTTCACTTAGACGCCTCACTCATGTGTATATTTTAAAAAGGAAGAGTTTTAGAATTGTCTTTAGTGTATCAAACCCATTTCTAACACTCGCATCAATAAACATTTGGGTATTTAAGGCATACAACTCCTTCCCTCCCAGCCCTCCCCCCTCCCTCCTCCCGTCTGTTTGACCCTTAACCTGTTTAGTTGCTTTTTGACATCTGTGCTTTGCTTTACTCCTTTTTCTGTTCCGCATGTGTGTATATTATCATGGTATAATTTATTCTGCTGTATGAAGTATTAGAGTAGTGGGAAACTTGTATTGGTATTTACTACCTTCAGCCTGTTGGTGTGTTTACTGTAACACTGGCGTAACTGTTATCAATTAAAGATCCAAAACAGAGTTGAGCCTTTTGTCTCTTATTTCTGTCGTGTGCAGGTTATTTTAACGTTTATTATGAGACGAGTCAGTAATGAGCCTTTTTATTTATCCATTGCTTCTTTCAGTTTTTACATGTACTACATATGTACATACATATTCAGTATAGACAATAACCATTTTATCCAGCCAATCAAATATCTGGTTTTTCCAGCCTTTCTCCCATTTATATAATTTTGGACTGACTGACTGACTTTGATTAGGTAAGACAAGCCATTTAAATTGTGACCTTGGGCTCTGGGAAATTGTGGCAAGCCTTTTTAGTATTTTCTAAGATTTAAAAGGGCTAATAAAATAAAAATAAATTGATGGAAAATATATTTCAGACAGATTAATTACAGGCCTGGTGTAAATCTGTGTGCATCTGCAAAATCTTAAATCAGCCCTAACCGCATGCTTGTAGTCTGAGCATGTAAGTTCAAGCACATTTGCGGGGGTCACCAGTGACTGTTCCAGCGATATGATTAGAGAGTGATGAGAGCTCAAATGTCCCAGACGAGGAGACGCAGACTGAAAGTGTGTCTAGCTGCAGCTGTAGGAAGTAATTCATTCTACCCGCTGACCAGCAGCGCTCGCCTCTCCCTCCGCTTGCCGGGGAATGCAGTCTGCAAATCTCTGCGGTATGGTGTGAATGTAGGGGAACTAACCGGTGTAGTGTGGAAGCATCCGCTGTGCTTTATATTACACGTCAAAACAGTGGAGCTCATTCACTTGTAGCCATCAGGCACTGCTGGGGGTATGTCAAACCCGCCTTAGGTACGTTCATTCATTCATTTAACAAATCTCAAACATGCTGGATATGTGTGCAGTCGCCGCAGCAAGAAAATCTTCCTACATAGTCTTGTCTAAACTAGTAAATCATGCCAAGATGCACCGTGAGAGATGTATATTTACTTTCTGTACGCCACAAATTGACAACAAATACTTTGCATTTTATTTGCAATTAAATGTGAACTAATCAAAGGCATCACTAATCAAAATTATTAACATCATCACCATCAAATTGTATTAGCAGATAAATCTGAAGCTAAATGAAGTCAGTACTGCTTGTGTTATCAAGGGGTACCTATCATTCCTATTTCATATTTTCATACTCAGTGAGTATAAACTGATACATAACGTTTAGGATTCCCTTCACAGATTCAAATCAGCACTGAAATGCAGCGTTATCGCCACGTTATATCATCAAGGCTCAGTTAAATTTGATGCAAATGTTAATTCTCTTGAATATCTAATTACAAAACATATATTGTGGGGGAAAAAAATAGTGTTCTTAGGTGCTGGATTAGCATGCCAATGAGGCAGGTCAATTAGTTAATCGATTTCAAAGCAAGTTTTTGATATGAGTTCATTCTGAGGAGACTGGGGGGCTTTCAATGGATCCTCTGAACATATCAAATATGCATTGTGGCTGTTTGCCTGCTGCGTGTCATCCTTCATATATTCCTCTAAAAGTTTGTGTTCTGGTTGTCCAGATTAGACCTTGGCATGTGCTACGGTTGTCCCCTTTGCTCCAGCTTGTCTCCTGAGGTGCCGGCCTGGGAGTTTTGTCTCCCTCGGGTCTGCTGTCACTCAGACTGGACGAGGTGGCAGCTCAGGCAGTGGTGTGTGGGAGAGCTTTATGACATTTCCCTCATCTCCTGCTTTGATCCCCTAATTGATTGACTACAGGAGCAGAGGATAAACAGAGCCCACAAGAGCCGATTCCACTCGCCTCTCTGGAGTGGTTTAGATAAAGTGTAGAGGCCCGAGCACTCCATTCCTCCTCTCCCCTCCTCTATATGGACATACGGCCATTGAAGGTAGCTCTATGCCATGGTAGCTTAGCTGTGGGCTGTGTCCTCAGGCCCAGTGCTTGCCTACTGCCCCTGTGCATAAATGGCTGCCGGTAATGGGGTTGTTTAGATCACAGGGATGGAAATGAAACTCCTGAGCCTTGCTGTAGAGACCAGGAGGCCCTATCACTCATGCAGCAGTGATAGAGAATTCACAGCGTCAGCCTGGTCATACTTTCAGAATGAGCCATGGAATAGAGGCTCTGATTCAGATCTTATTTAGGACCCAGCTCCTGAACCTGGCCATGCTGTGATAAATAACCTTCTGCTGAAGACTCAGGAAAGCCGTGAAGAGGAAGAACGCAAACAGCCAGTTAAGAAAAAAAAAAAACAACAAGCCAAAAAGTCTCAGATTTAAAGAAAATGTGTGTTTGAAAATATGACTTTAGAATGATTTAAACCAGATATGATAATTATATTCTAATTTTTCAAATTTGTCTTCAGAAAGAGTTCAGATCCGTGTGCAGGTATGCTAAGAAATGATTAAGAGATGCTCTGGGGTCTTGGTTTTATTCTTTGAGATTATGTGTCATAGGGAGTAAAAAAGCTCCCAGCTGTCGCCATGAAAGCACTTACAGTATAATAATCCCCCAAATCCTGTAATTATGCCAGCATACGCTGTGTACCTGAGCCTCAGCTTTGTGCTCGTCACCTCAAGGATCCCACTGACACAGACACAGACGCACAGCTTGCCATGCACATATCTCCTTCCCAACCATGTATTTTGCATAGGGAGAAAATCTTATTTTCAGAACATTTTAGGTATTTTGAATTTCATGGTTACCCCTCTCAGGTATTATAGATAGATAATCTGTCATGTATAAGTAAAAAAAAAAAAAAAGAAAAAATCAGGAGCTCAAATAGGGGATTGTCTGATTTACCAGGAACCAAAATTATAGAATCTTTCACCAGCTATATTACATTTAATCAGCTAAGTAAGATCAATCTTCAATTCATTACATTTTATTCATATAGAACCAATTCAGATTGCAATACTTGAAATGCACATGTGCACATATATGCACATCCATGCACACCTCCCTTAATTCATTTTTTTTAAACAAAGACAAAAAAAGTCCAAGTAAAGTTGTAAATCTAAGAAATCAGAGCTAGATAAAAATCACTGTGAAGCCAAGCTTGATTTACATTTAAAATCTGAGCTGTGTTCTCAAACTAATTAATATTAATAACAAAAATGGAAATGAGTGCAGTGGCGGCCCATAAGTGAAGAACAAACTGGGTGCATTCAGTCAGGAGATTCATATACAAGCCCTTTCTCAGGAGAAGTGGGCTCTAAACAGGCGTGACGGCAGGGCATAGACCGCCATACACAGAGACAATTTTTCTAGATAATAGCCTATCACGCAGGATACAATTTAAATTAAAAAATGCAATTTTCACCTTGAAATGAACAAATGATTACAATTTCTATACAAATTAAGGCATCCAGGCTGTGCCTCAGTACTGTGCCAAGGCCATGAAACCTGACATAATTACCATGAAATACATTTTCAAATATTTGTATTTTGTCCATCGCTTTAAAACATGCCACTCTGCCTTCTGTGGGTTTGTGATCTCACCTTCTGGGGGAAATACATAAAAAAGAGAGAAAATCATCAGAGATGAAAAGCTCTTCAACAGGAGAGATAAAAATGTAGGGGGAAAAAAAAAACAACCTCCCATACACACAGTAAATCAGCGCAACTCGGCACAGCGCCCCTGGAGCTATCTCTAAAAGCCAAATTACTGCTACTTATCTAAGGAATCATATCTACTAGTTATCTGCTCCTGAGATAGGTTCCTCTCTCTCTCTTGTGCCTTGTGCTCATCGCCAGAAAAGCTATTTATTTGTGATTACAGACACCCTTTGAATAAAAGATGTTTGTGTTTGAGATCCAAAGTTTTCGCAGATTCTGAACTCCTCAGATTCTTCAGAGAGGAGAGTATTGAAGGCAGAACACCTTATTTGGGCAGGGTTGCTGGGGGTGGTCTGCTGCAGAGAGAGGGATGAAAGTGTAGCCGATGGGAAATATGAGACAAGACCTCAAACTTCTCTTACTCTTCATATCACATATGCTTTCAGAGGGGATTCATACTGAGATGAGGTGTCGAATTGACTTTAAATGCAGAACCTTATGCTGGAAACACATGGAGACAGGAAGTTCTGGCAGGTATTTTGTAGAAAGCTGCCAAAAGCTGCTAAGTTTGGAGTTTTGGGGAGTTTCTCTTCTCGCAGATATTAATGCCCTTAACTAGGAGGAATCACAGGAAAGCAAATTTTTAATGCGGTGGTACAGAAATGCAGTTAAAAAGTGTCTAATACTAGCAGTGGGTTTCTTTTGTCCACTACAATCTAAAATAGTCCAATGGCAATCTTTTTGCAGGGCTTCAAAACATGTTCACCTCCCCTTAGAAACACTTAACAACATGTGCAGTAGGGAGCGAACATTTTAAACTACTACACCAATATATATGCTCATTCCCTAAGCAAAGCAATGTAAGTACAAGACTCAGAGCTATTATACAGTTTACTAATCTTAAATGCCTCTTTTTTCCTTCCATTTCTTCCATTCCCTCTTTTGCCCTCCATCTGTTGAAGTCCCTCAGCCAGAGAGGCGCACATCAGATTTCAATAGTTGACCTCTTAATGCTGAGGTCAGTGCTGCACCGGCAGCGATTTCACACTCAAGATGAAAGGGAAATGAACACTGAGGATGCTGGGGTGGGGTGGGGGGTGACATGGGGCCCTGACCACTTTGGCCATTGCCACTCTAACCGCTTCACTGCACCGGGCTGGAATCTGAGGTGAGTCCAAGAAGAGGTGCTGAGATTGAGGTTTGCCACCTGTATAACAATAGGCGAAGCCACCGACCTAGACTAGATATGCACCGATTGTTTTTCTTTTTTCTCAGCAGCGATAAAACTTAGTTGCACTGTTGATTTCTGGTGCAACGAAGGAACTAGTCAGACGACAGAAGAAGACGCACATGAAGTAACTCCGCTAGCATCTCCAGAACTGGAGAGATGAGCTCCTATGCATCTGAAACTCCTACGAGAACTCTCTGTTGTCACAGTCGTACGAGCTACTGAACCCCAGCATATTGTTCTTTTCCACCAATGAGC